GGTTGGTCACATTGTGACAACACTACTGTCTCTGGTCACCAAAGCTCCAAATCAGCCATCAGTGGATGTGTCTCAACATTGCTTAAGACCACTCTTTTGGACTGATGACCAAAGATTTTAACCCCCCCCATCGTATTTATGTATGTTTTTATGTAACAAGGTGTATTGCAGCTCAGTTGAGTGTCATTGGTGAATTGAAAAAATGTGTGGATGCCTGCACACATTAACAATATGTTTGGGTCGGTGGCTGGTGTTTGTCGGGGCGTAAGCAAAGAGGGGTCCTTCATCAGAGACTGTCTCCAAGGCGATGCCTCAGTCAAATGGCAAGCCTGTCGGTGTGATCGCTGGAGCATAAGCAAGCCCTTTATCAGACACAGACACACGCATACACAAAAAGATATTCAGGAGTCTGGGCCAAATGCTCTGGGGATGCACTCTTTTGTATGTTAAGTAATTAAAAGTAATGAGAAATTATAGTCAGATTTTCTTAATAGTTCTCGAATTTGTCTTCTTAAAATCAACCATGCCAACCTTTCTCGGCATAGAGGCCATGATACATAGAGGAAATAGAAATATAGTACTGAACCACATGATTTGATCTTATGGATAATTAAGCCATCAATTACAAATCCTATATTCTTTACATGACTTTTTACTATAATGATAGATTTCCTACCTTCCTGGAAGTTCTCTTAGTGCTTTTACAGCATAAAAATTCATTAAAAAGTCTTTGAGTAGACACTGAATATGCCCTTGCCCTTATTGCTTTGCTAAAGGTCCTGCTTTGGTTGGGTGGTTATGCTGCTTCAAGCAGGGTCTGTCTTTGACTATCAAGGATGTTCTACCAACCAAGATTCGAGAGCCAACAGGCTTTGCATTCAGAATCTATGGTGTCAGAAAATCAAACAAAGTAAACAAACAATAGGCAAACACAATGTGAATTTGGTTATTTATTCCATTTAAAATATTGCTTTCAGGCAATCCAATCTCAGCTGTCAGCATGAGATCTTACTTTGAAAATCATCCATTAAGAATCCGTGGATTCTTTCTTTTTTTAGGTTCTATTATTTCAAATATAGGTTAGGGCTATATCAGGCATGTTTCTGGCCTAATTCTTGCCTCAAATAGATCTAGAAATGAATGCATTTAATGTTTTCAGAATCACTGCCACGTTGCACAAGTGGTGTGTTCATCCAATCAGGTACACAATATAATCACGTCTTAGTGAAGATAAAACAATAATCTTCTCATGAATAATTTACTAGCTTATTTGAAATGGCATACTGTTACAGAAGCACCACAAATTTTTCTTAACTTGCACAATGAAATGAATCAAACAGCATTTCTTTGGCAGGGTGTTTGGTACTCTTTCAACTCCTGTTGGTTAGAGAGCATGGTGTGAGATATGAGGTCAGGGGTCATGTTTGAGTCTAAAGTGACAATTGAAGTTGGCTGAGGTTTAATGGAGCTTGACGAAAAGGTGATGGACGATGCTTGAGGCCTGAGTATAACTGTGTTTTGGTTTGAATTTCATAGAGCAGGATAGTGTGAAACAGAGACGGAGAGATGTGTGGATGCGAGAAGCACCTTTACTGAACCATGGTTTTCACCATGTGCAGTTTTCAGCACACAGAGAGCACTGGAGTTTGTTGTCATGCATTGCCATTCCTGTCTGTCTGGGGGGAGGGGAGGAAGACACAAAGAAGGTGAGGAGGAGGAGTATGAGGGTGTTTATGGGTGTAGGTTGTAATGCTGGCAGGTCTTCTCTTTGCTGCATTTGGCTCAGGCAAAATATATCGATCTGGGACTGGAGACCAATTTATTGAAGAGAAGACAGAAAGAGAGGGAGACAGAAAGCAAAAACATACATTATAATCTGTTTTTTGGAAAGCAAGGAAATTTTATGTACCATAAGTGTGCTTCAGGACTAGTGCTAAAGGTTTAAGTGAGGTCAGAGGTCATTTTATCAATTAAAGATGAATGCAGTGAAGCACTGGTGAACTGTGAGCATAGAGCCTTAGGCTGGAGTGGTCATCAGGTCAAGTCACGGCACCACCATCATTACAATGGCTCTGTGTGCTGGAATCTGACAGCCAGACGAGCTGGAGTTAGGGACGAGACAGGCTGACTGACTGCAAGGAGAGAGAGGATCTAGAAGGGGCTATATATAGAGAGTTGCTGAGGAGAGAACAACAGAGAGAGAGAGAGCAGCTGAGGCTCTTGAATTTTTCAGTTGTCAGCGTGATTCTAGATGTGTGAAAATGAATACATTTTAGATCTTAGACTTTTATGTCCTCATTGAGGCAAGTTCAGATGAAGCTTATAATGAAATAAATCAAAATGGACTCTGTGAGGCTGTATGTTTACCATGTTCACCATATTAGTTTAGCGTGTTTGCATGACAACATTTGCTAATTAGCACTAAACACAACATACAGCTGAAGCTGATGGGAATGTCAGTAGTTTTGCAGGTATTTTGTCATATACCAAAGTACTGGACACAATTTTGATCTGATGAAGCTGATTCAAGCTAAGCTAATCATCCTGAGGGGAGCATGCATATGTGTACTGAATTTCATGGAAATCCATCCAATAGTTGACATTTCACTCTGATCAACAAAGTCTTTAGGGTTCATCCTCTATGAGGATATGAGGGCTGTTCACAAATTCACAGCAATCCTTGCACAATGATGTGTATTGCAAATGTTCGACTAAGAGGTTACAGGGAAACACCAGCAGTGTTAAACTCTGTATCTAAAAGCATTCAGACATTCTTCCCCCTAAGCCTTACCTTGAGCTACCAAACAGTGTGTGTATATATAGTATACTGTATGTGTGTGGGAATGATTTCTGCCTGGTTAACTAACTGGCCTAGGGCTTGCTGGTTTTCTATTGTCACACAGTGTGTATGTGCGCCAGATTGAAATAGAGTGCAAGAAAAAGACTAAAAACAGACTAAAAAAGTGCAAGAAGAAAGGAAAATCAAAGAAATAAAAGTTGGGGGTGAGGGACCATCTGTTGCTAAAAAAATCCATTTCCACCCCTCCTCTGCTGCTCAGTTCATTCAGATGCACACATCTGGTGTCCCACAGAGTCTTTTCAGGGCTTTAAACACCTTCTCACCACTGCTCAAATTTTAAAAGTCAAGAAACACATGGACACACGTTATTGTGAAGCTTGTGCACACAAAATCTGAAAGGAGGTGCAACTGACTGCGCAAGACCTTACTGTAGTATAGAATATAAAATATAGAATAACATGGAGTATGACAGACAATATAAATGGTATAACGTTTTACGGCTGCAATTGTTTTCATTATCATTTAATCAATTAACGGTTTGGACTAAAATGTCAGAAAATGGTGAAAGATGCCCATCACACTTTAAAAATGTGTAGTTTTGTCAGACCAACACACCACAACCCCGAAAATATCATGATTACTACATGATGCACTATACAAGCTGAAACCATTGGCATTTTGCTTTAATTGTTTCTACAATGATAAAATCTGCCATCCCTTCTCGCTACCAACCATTTTCTATTTTTTGTTTTGACATAAAATTTGGACTCAATAGCATCTGACATATAAAGGACAATATCTGAACAAGCATTAATAGCCTTAACATTTAGTCTATCCAAGATTACTGTTTATCTCTGATTTGAAAAATTACACCTCTGAATTATTGTTTGATTTTGTTCATCGTGATGTAATTACATTGTCACATCTTTGAGAGCTTACGCTTTTGTACATTCAAAAACGACTCAGTGTTGGTGCAATACACTAAATTGTACAAGTTTAGGGGAGGGCATGTGGCCCATTTCCTGTCTTTACAGTACTTCAGTAGCACTGTTGACGGCGTCCTATTCTTCTTCCTTCTCTCTTGTCTCCTTTTCTGTCCATTCCTCTCTCCCTCATCTGTGATGCTGTGCCCCCTTTTAAGGGCTTAAGATCAGAGGTCAGCGACTTTGTGAAAGAGGGCTTTGTCTGTGTGGAAAGGTCCAGCAAGGGCACACTTCCTCTGACCCTGAGTCAACCACACACACACACACCACACACGCATTGTTGCTTCACCTTGGTAGAAAGTCCAGATGTTACCATCTTTGGCTCTCATTAAACACATCTGTGACATCTGTCTGTGCACCCATGCACACCCATCATACATACAAACTGTGTTGCATGTTGTAGGTAAAAAGTCAAAGGTCAGGATTTGCTCGAACAGAACTAGTTCGTACGACGTGTTGTGTTTAAAATTTCTTCCAAATGACCACACTGGAAGGCTATGAGGATAACAGTACCAACAGTACACATCTTCAGATGGTCTCTCCTGAAAGTCATTCATAGTGTTACCTTCAGTTATTCTCATGAAAATAGAGAGTCAGAGAGACAGAAATTCAAACACAGCTCACTTTCTCATAAGCACACAGCTTTCTCACAATGGTGTGAAGTGGGTGTGAATGTTGGATTGCCGGTTTCGAAAAAAGTTATAGCAATGGTCAGACACAATCCCTCCAAATGCCATGTCAAAAAAATTGTGTGTTAACCTTGACATTGTGCTTTTCTTTGCGTTGATCTTAAGTGTTATTTCATTTTACATCAATTGGAAAAGTCATTGTGCATTGCCACTTACCAGATGATATATCAGCGGGAAACTATCAGTTTAGATCTAAAAGCACAAGGAGATAATCTGTATTTTAAACTATGTTAAGATATCCTTGGCTGCTGTCCACAGAGACTGCTGTCTGTTGTATTGTACATTAGCAATTCACTGTGACACACATGTAGAGCACCACTATAAATCATCAGTCACCTGGAAAAGAAAAGTAGCTCTGAAGACCTCTACTCTGGTCACTAGGGGTTCATTACTTTATACGTAACCAAATCCCCCCCCCCTCACATACACACACACACACACACACACACACACACACACAACCACACACACACCAATCTTACTGGTTGCACTGCTTAACCTCAGTCTTTGTGTGTGTTTATGATCCAGGGGGCCCGTGTTTGGGTCAGAGAGAAGGAGCAGCTGGTTCCCGCCACAGTCAACTCATGTGGAGATGGAACCCTTGTCGTCACAACCGACTATGGAGAGGTAAGAAATGTGCGCACACAGACACACACACACACACACATACACGTACACACATACATACATACATACTGCTCATTAGGGCTGAGTTATTAATAGTTTTCAAATAAAAATTGCGATTTGAAAGAATGCAATTAGCTAACCGGAAAGACGCTGGTTAAAATTTATTCATTCTGTTGTCATCCTTATGTGACAAACTTGCTAACCATCGGGAGTGTGCAGGGTGTTTTATTTTGAAAATCGACTGGATTCTCTATGCTGTTCTGTGTCTGACTTCCTGCCCGGTTTATCTGCTCTGTGCTGTTTGACGCGGGTTCCGTCAAAAATAGACTTGCAGTGAATATTCAACTTTAGCTAAACTTAAAAAACAAAAAAAAAATCGCATCGAATTGTAATCGCAATATCTGGCAGAAAAATTGCAATTAGATTATTTCCCCAAATCGTTCAGCCCTTCTGCTCATGTTTGTCTGTTCTGGTCACGTTTACCTGAAGTACATGTACATAGTACATAGTATAAGTATTCATTTACGACAAAGTAATTCACAGCTTACACAATCTTGTGTAGGTTATTGACCCTTCGCTAAGCCATGGCCCGAATACACAGCTGGCCAATCACAGCGCAGTATAGGACTCGCTCTAACTGAGGTCCGACACTTTCATGGTCCATTGAGTCGTTTTCTAGCTTTTTTTGGCTGTACTTTTCCAAGAAATGGTCAAACACTGTTCCTGGGGCACTTGTAATAGTTACAGCAGCTAGCCAGGCTGATAGGAGAAGTGCGATTTATTCATGTTTCAAACAACATATCCAGAAAAATGTCGGCTGTGGATTTTTCATTATGTAATGTTAGTTAGCTTACGCTAGCTAACTTCCTACTGTATGTAACGTAATAAAGCCCTACTGTTCTGCTTTTTAATGATTGTAATATTGAATAAAGGCCTACCAAGCTTTCCAGGAACAGTGTTGATCGTTCATATCGTTGTCTTTTGTCTCAATCGTCTGGGAATGCGGTGGTAAACTTGTACTGTGTGATCGGTAGGTTTTAGCTTCTATCTTTAATTTTTTTCACGTCCGTTTAAGTCAGTTTGACAGCCTGAAGACAACCTTCAAATGTATAATGCAACGGCAAAACTGTCTGCTTCTTTCTGAGATCGCTTTTTCCAACAATTTCAACAATATTTCTCCGGGGATTGCAGTAATAGACAGCGCCGACAGTTTGTCGGGGGCGGGGCTTAGCAAAGGGTCAATTGTACTGTAAACCTAACCGTACAGGTAGAACTAGATTGAACTGAGACCCAAGAGACCTGGAAATATGAGATATAAGATATGATTGTTGTATGTGGACTATAATGAATATATAATTTGTAATTCCTTGGTAGATAGAATAATCTATTAATAATCTAAATTATTTATTAGATAAAGACACAGGTTGATTGGTGTAGTAGCTATAGGAGGACAACACCCTGTTTTTACTTTGTTAAATAAAGACTGTTTTCTTGAAAGTATGGACATTATACTGGTCTATGTAATATTTTTGGTGAATATTTATAATACTGCTAAAGTTTGCATGAGCATACAGGGAAGATGATTTACATATTACTTTATTTACACAGTTTTTACCATTGTTATAGAGTTGACAGTAGAGAGATGCCAGCGAATGAGGGGGGAGAGAGAGAGAGAGAGAGAGAGAGAGGGGAACGACATGCAACAAAGGTCCTAAGGCTGTAATGTACTCACCACCTATAACCGCCTTCATGTGTCACGTTTTACCTGTAAGACATTTGACACCTGTAAGGCCTTTGTTTGTCATCTGTGATGTGAAAACATCAGATTTTCACACAGTCAAAGAAATTAAAAGTGTGCTTTCTAGTCATACTTGAGGCATACAATCCTAGTGCACCATAGAGCTCCTCTGCTGCTTGGCTGCTGACAGCGCTGTCAGCTGAAGAGTCAATCACACTGAACAGTAGAAGAGGTTGTACCAGCGTCTGGTTCAAAAGTAGTTCAGCTGACTTTGCTAACATTCAACAGTGAACAGAAAGAATTTGCCCTGCCTTTCTGTTTCCTATATAGTTAGTTTTATAGTTTTAGAGAAAATATTCAGTTTGTAAAAGTTTACAGCCTGCCATGCTGGTGCTTCTGCGTTGCTCTGTGTACACACATGAAGTTGAAAAAAAGTGATCCAACTGACAAAAAGAGAGTCGGCTCAGGGCCTTCTCGACTGATTCAGATCTTCCACGTTTAGCGGGTAGCCTTCAACGTCCCCAGGAAGGATGGGTGAATTTTGTTACAATTTTAACGACACTAATACCGATACCTGTCATTTTTGGAACAAAAAGATGATTACACATACAGGCAAATCACCTGATAAAATCTACCAATTAATAATACATTTATTACAAATACTAGTAAATAACAATAAAAGAAGAAAAGAACATTATAACACAAATATGAATAAAATATATTACAATACCACCTATATACAACTATATATATTATATGTGGCACTTTAATGTCACAAATAGCGCCTCTTGTTATATTTTTATCTACATGTCACCACACCACACGTTTCTGTTTCTGCCATTCTCTCACAGGTTTTAATGCAGAAGTGTGCGACTGTGCAGGTTCTCATGTCACATAGGTTTCCACAGCTATGTGACACAGGCCAGCTAAAACATGTCAGGGCTGATCATTGACGCAAACATTACACAAAAGTAATGAAAACATATCAAAGTGATGCAGCCACCCAGGTTTTGTATTTATATATGTATTTTATTATTTATATATTTTTAATGGAATTGATACCAAATGAGTAGCTTGAAGTATCAATCCCGCAGTATTGATCCGCCTATCCCTAGTCCCCCAGCTGATTTCAAACTGGGGACATTAGTGTCATGTCAATTACACAGGTTTTTCATTAAAACTGGATCTGGAATTTTTTTGTTTGTACAGTATAAATAGAAGGAAACACTGTATGGACTAAAAACACATTACATTAGACAGAGGAGTAAACAGTGTCAACATTTAAGAAATGCTGAGCGAAAGCTGCAAAAAATGCTTGTAATGTGTCAACTGGACAGTGCATTCATTTTCGGATAAAGGTCAGAGTGAAGCTTTGCAGGTTCATCCTCTCCTGTGTGAATCAATAGAAACTCCAGGTCATGTTGCTCCACTTTCCTGCCCCAGTTCTTTCCTTCCTCCTCCTCTTCTTCCTCATACATATGCAAAATTCATCTCTGACACACATTCAGCCTTCCAGAGGAGAAGTAGAATAGATAGAGAGCATTATGGGAGCACAAATGCACATGTTCGTTTCAGGATGTCAGATGTCAGTGTTGCCTGCCCCAGTCCTTTAACACCACACCCCCTGCCAAAATAATGGAATTGAATGTTTAAATCTCATTATGAGTGTGTGTGTGTGTGTGTGTGCGTGCGTGCGTGCGTGTTCTCATCTAATCTGTATCAGAGCGAGGACATGCACACGTCGCTCTTTGGATTCCATGTTTTTTTATGGCTTGATGTGTTTGGCACACACACAAACACATCCATGCGCTCCAGTTGGCAGCGTTTAGATGGCGCTAATAATACACTTGGTTCTTTAGCCTAACTTAAAGAGCCTCCATCCACACTTTATACCCCCAAAGAACAGCCACATCTACTCTCTCTTTTTTCATGTACAATGAATTCATGTTTTGTGGCCTTTAAGACATAAAATTGCCAAATGCGGCTCTAAAAGCAATGTCTTTTGATGTAGCTGTCTTGCTGCTCTTGTTCAGGGACACAGCAGGGGCAGACAGGCATTTCCCAAAATAGAGGATGGGTTATAGAAGCAGGCTTTCTCTTTGCTCTGGATTATGAATGCCCTTAACCTCCCCAACCCCCATCCAGTGCTCCCTTCCTCCCTCTGCCCTCCCTCTCTACTAGCTGTTGGTGTTTAACTGTTAGCTCTGCAGGAGGTCGTGAATATTTGATAGAGAATCAGCAGGATGGGGGACTTTACCCTGTTACAACATGATCTAACCCATGCAAACAGTCCCAGGTCTTCCCATCACTCCCTGTTGCTCTGCCCCTGGTTCTGCTGATCTTGTAAAAAAAATACATTTTTAATTGTCAGTGTCCAAAGAGCCAAGTGAATCCCAGAAACATTTTCATATTCTCTTTGCAGCTGCCATGTCACTCTTGTTCTGTAATCTACACACCCTGACCCAGCTCACTACATTACTAATTCTGGGTTACAAATGCTGTGGCTGCAAAACTACAAACCTTGCAAAACTACCAGGGGTATATGTGCAAGCCTTTACATCATTCACTGTCGTTTTTACTCAGCTTGTGAATCTTTATGAAAGAGTCAATTTAAGCTTATGGTAGATATTTGGAGTGGTAGGCTAATGTTACTTGTTTTACGTCTTCTATTCTGTCATCTCATTTCAGTCATTTGTGACTACACACTGACTGATCTTTTGATTTTGTTTTGTTACCACAGCAATGTTATAGAAGTAACAGTGCAAAGTGCCAATCAAAAAATAAGCTGCAAAATGTCAACCTCAGCCGTTGTCATTTCACAAAGGTTAGATGTGTGTTGCTTATTTGATGGTATAAAAAGCCTGTCAAATCTCAAGTCTCAAGTCTTTAAGGTTGAGTCCAAGTCAAGTCTCTAGTCTTTGATACTTGACTTGCAAATCAAAAGCAAGTCTTTACCTTAGTCTGCTAATTACAATAGCACAATGGCCAAATTCCCAACAATACTTGCATGCATCAAAGCATCTCTATGTGAGTTAAATGCACAGCAGCGTGGTGATTTTCAATTTTTATTGATCTGATGTCAAGCTTTTTGCAGTCAACTTGAGTCCAAGTTGAGTCACATTTTTACAATAATCTCAAGAACCAAGCCCAAGCCACAAGTCTCCAGCTTTTGTGTAGACTTCTGTCTGTGATCCATCCATCCATTGGTTCATCCATTTTCCATAACCTGGGGTGCAGTGGCAGCAAGTAGCACAGACA